ATCAGGGAAGACCTGGGAAGCCCGTGAAAAGTAGTGGGTAGGGCACAGCTGACTCATTCAGACTGTCATTCTTTTTGTCCGAAATGAAAGGAACTAGAGAGATACGAGACTGCTCTTTATCATTCCATCCAGGGACGCCTACCGATTCATTTTCCCGTTTCCGACGAGTTTGGAGCAGAAGAATTTTTTGCAAAAAGAGAAAAAGGAAGGAGGTCAGATCCGCAAAGAAAAACAGTTTCAAAGAGATACTACGGTAGTTTTGAAAAAGATCAGAGCATTAGAAAATAATGACTGGCAGAAGTCCTACGGAGTATCTACAAGAAATAACGGGAACGGGACAGTTGTAGGTAGTTTCTGCTGAGATCGACTCGACCATAAATAATGGAAACTACTTTGCAGGCTTCTCGTGGAAGCTCAGCTTTTTCTTTTTCTCCTATCAGCGCAATATCGGAGAATAAAAAACTGGAGGAGAATGGGGTTCTTTCCCAATTCTTTCGGTTTTTTCCGCCCCCTCCTACCCCTGAAAGCCATCTTTTCAGACAAGTTTCGCCTTAGAACTTCTAATTCACCTTACTACCGATAGAATCGGCCTAGCACACCCCTTTTTTATTATGCACCCATATCCCCAGCAACCCTTAAAATTTCGCAATCATCCTATAGCACCTGTTCACCGCCGTCCTACCCACGCCTCCCTCACTCCCTCCCTCTTCTGCTTTCCCAATTCCTACTCGATTCACCAGGTTCAATTGATAGCCAAAAATACGAAAAACCTCGTCAATACGAATCCATTTTTTTTTCAAGTAATGAACCAACTGGTAAGTTAAATGTATGACTGAAGAAAAAAATCATAACTCACTTCAAATTCGCCATCCATCTCCTCGACATCCAAATATTCTTCTTCAACATCTGGCTGTTGGACGATTATTAATGGAATAGGAGCCTGAAATTATTTGAAATACTCAGTTTTTTGAAAATACATTTATTATTGGACTATGAAACTGCCCAGATGAGTTGAGGCTGAGTACTATGAGGGCCACTTTCACAGTGGCCGCCAAGCATTTTTTTATTAAAGCTTATCTTATAAAACTTCCACTGCAAACGTGGGGGACTACAATTTCTTCAACCAAAACTGCTGGAACCACGTATTATTCCTTGAGACCGCCTCGGGATGGTCTGGAGTGGGGGAAACCTGGTATAGAATCGACTACAAGTAATGTCATGCGCGTTTGTCGCCAGGTCCCACACACTACTGATTACGCTCGATCCCCATTTGGAGCCTTCTGGATTGTTGGAACTCCTCATGGTTAAAACTTTCAGATAGTGGTGTCACAAACTGAAAAACGTACCCGTACACTTTCTTCTTCAGCACTCTCCGCAAAACTGTGCATTTCATCTTCGCCTTCACAACTCTCCTCTTCTTGTTCTTCTTCCTCTTCAACCTCTTCTTCACCGTATTCCTCTTCCTCTTCATCCTCTGCTTCCTCTTCATATTCCTCTTCATCCTCGTCATATTCCTCATCTTCGTCCCAGTATTCCTCGTCACTGTACTGAAATCAAATCAAAATTAAATGGCTGAAAGGGGGGGGGGGGGGATCGTTCTTGGCAAGACCTCTTCGTCCTCGTAATAGTCCGAGTCATCCTCGTCGCTGTCACCACGCATCGCCGCTTTGTCCACCAGTCGAAGTGTACAACCAACGTCGACTTCATCGTGGTAGTGTGTACCATCATAATCCTTAAAAATACAATAAACATGAAAAAAAAACGAAAAAATATGATAATGGGGTGTGAATTTTGAAGTTGAGCGGTAGTACGAGTTATCCTACAAGCTAATTTTCAATAATTGAACTAACCTTCCTTTTGCCTTGGAATAAATATCGAAGATTGGAGAGCTTCTCCCAAATCATTTCCGAAGGGTTGCTGATCGGATTCCAGAAGGGGGTCCGGTAAAGCTGTGTAGGGCTAGGGCGGAGCTACTACGATGATGTCAAAACAAACATAAACTTTTTCTCGACGGCCGTTTAGCACCCAGCACCTTGGGTAGCCTGGGATGTATCGTAGCGTATAATTCCAATGGGACATGGCTATAAGCTAAATTACCCGTAAAAGAGTTTACCCATAAGTTGGCATGGAATTCGAGGAAGACATCGGACGGATCTACCCACAACCCCTAGCAAAACCCATTTTAGCCAGTCCACAGCCGCAGGGAACCAGTAGCTAAGCTCGAGAAGGTGTCAAGGAACTCTGCCTTACAAGTACTTCTGGATGTAACCATCTATGGCAGTTTAGCCCGACCATTGAATTTCTACGTCATTGCCCACCCATTAGAATTTCAAAGTCAAAACATGGTCTATGAAAAAAGAGTGGTTCTATTACACTTCGATAAAGGTTAAGTGGTTGTCTTTCGGGATCTTTTTTGATGTTCACCCCATACATCTCCCGATTTAATTAATGGGGCTAGTAAGAAGTATGTCAATACGGGTAACAATAGGGATAAAAGTATTAAATGGACGTCGCAGTTGAACTTTTTAGCATATGAAAATCTGGAGTGGAATAACTAGCCCAAATATTGAAAAAGACCGGGTGGTCCACATGGCGGGGTCTGACCATGAGTCCCTAGCATCTCCTAGCACTAACTGGTACCCCTCTAAATCACCAGAATATCACCAAAAATGGTGAACACAAAGTTAGTACGGGTTCTGTTAGTGGACCCAAATGGAGTTACTAAAGGACAAGTGAGATCACTGTGGGAGAAGGGACGGAAAACTAGATTTTTCGGCTATCGTTAACGCCCGAACGGCAGTGACCATCTGAGCTCCATGACGAATCATGAATCCCTGGGTAAGGGGCACAAGATGGAGAGCCGCTCCATCGCTCTTCACCCCAAGAACGACTATTGTTCTTCATTGATTTGTCCTAATGCCAGTCGGACCCCGGTGAAATAGGAATGATCAGCTAGGGTATAGAATTCTGTGTGGAAAGCCGAGGTGTAGTCAATATCGGCTAGCGCGTAACTGTATGGGCTTGTAATGCAACCAAATAGCGATTAGTAAGTTAGTATGCTTCAGCTTGGGTGTGGTGCGTTAGGAACGAAATGGTCGCGTCGCGGTGAGAGGGGCGTCGCGCGCGAAGGAATGTAGCAGGATGCAGCAGTAGGTAAGAAATACAAGAACAAAAGTAGTAATAGTAGAATTATGCATAGAATAATGATCGCATATCCA